TGCGCTACGGTCACCATCGATGTTGGTTTGGGCATGGCGAGCAGTGCGGTGGGAGAGAGAGCAGGGGAGGGTGGCGTCATCAGCAAAAGAATGGATCGGGTTAGTAGTTTGGGATAGGAGATCATTGATAAATAGAAGGAAGAGGGTGAGCGAGAGTACAGAACCTTGGGGAACACCAGCGTTCACAGGGAATGNTAGAGACACTGAGTGATATGGCTGGGTGTAGTAAACAATGGCGTTCGTGCATCTTCTCAATTTTTCTGTATCATTAATCCACTGAACTTTTCAATTTTCTCTTCGATTCTACTTTCAACCTTTCCTGTCTTTCTCCTAATGTTCATCCAAATGGGCAGCCAAAAGATAGCAACTAAAACTGGCGCACAATAGTGCATGGTTAATGGTTGTACAAACTGAAACTGATCTTCAACTGAAACATTGTCTCATCGGTTGCACCTGGGAGGAATATTTGATATTTAGTTTCCTTACTATTTGTGTATTTTTCTTTATTTTCCACCACCAATCAGGTATCATTCAATGGTTCTTGCTCATTGTGGTTTGGGAACGCTGTTCGTCAGATAAGTTGCGCAGCTTTGCCGACCTGTGCAGTGTGAGCAATGTGTCCGTTTTCATCCTGTCCCAAACCAATTTTGGTTACTACATTCACGGTCATTCACCAACCGGACATTCGGATGTGGATTTGGGCGGGCTGGTCATGATGTTGGCCGCAGAGAATAGCGGTGTGGCCGCACGACGAGGTATCATCACGGACTCGGATGATCATACCTATCGAATGGCTTTACCGTCCGCGTTCCGTCAAGCATTCAATCGTTTGTACGAACCTCTATTGTCCGGAGCGACAGTCGCGCCGAAATCGGGAAAAAGCAAGTTGAGCTTGGTCAACTTTTCCGCGATTGATGTCTACCAGGCTTTGAATCGGTTTCTGATTCGATTCATTTCACGTGTACGTGGTAATCATTACAATATACTTGCTGGGCAAAATTTTGTTTGGCAAAAAGAATTCGGACATCCGTCGTGATGGAGACCGGTTCGTCAGCTAATATAAGTGTCACTACAACTTCAGTCCCTGTTGTTGTTGTAGGACTGTTTGAATAATTTTTCCATTGACTTTGTCCGTCAATCCATTGTCCTTTTTCGCCAAACTTACACTGTATAAAAAACATTCACTTTAAACCCCTAGCTAAATCATTTGGATGGATAAGCCCAAAGCAAGACGACTTAGTTAGAATTCACTTTGATAATATCCCCCATCCAGGCCCCTGGTCCATGATGTGAAGGCCCATTATCACTTCATTTCAGTGTAACATGGTTTATTCGAAAAAGGGTAAACGGATTGTTAATTCCTCTTCTGCGGAATTAGAATGGACTGCCTTCCTGTGTTAAACCTGGCGACAAGTGACGCTCAAAGTCTCGGTTCCAAAGCAATGAAAACCAAGACTGTCGAATGATACGGTTCTATTAATGAGAATTAATTAATGGCATTATAAGTAATATACAAACCTTGATTCGTGAGGTATCTGGATTAGGACAGTCGCTAAAGCACTTCCAGATATAAGTGCATCAAATAGGAATATGACAGTGCTCGGCTGTGTCGAAATACACCTTACAATCAAGGTGCCTCAAAACGGGCCAGCTCACCGCTGTGTCAAAGAGAGAATATGATCTAACTATACGGAGTCAAACAAATAAGTCCAGTTAAGCAGTGACAGGAAGCTCCCAAAGTAAGAGCCAATCATAAGAGAGTTGGGCGCACACAATTCGACCTCTCAGCAAACAGCGACAGACGTGTGTGCACACAGGTGTGTGTGTACATGAATAAGTGACTCCCAATAGCCATCAAAACAGGTCACATGTGCGTAGGTGGTTAAATAATCGATAAATGATAAGCGGTAAACCGGTACAGAACAAGGGTAGACGGAACATAGGTCAACCTATAGAAAGAGACAATGGAGGTCACAAGAGAACTCGTGTGATTGAAGTCATGCGAGCGAGCGGTTTTCGTGTGTCTGTATGTCCATTGACTTGTCAGAGACTGGGAAAACTAAGTACTCGCTTGGTTATGTAAGAAATCGATAACGAGAACACAACGAATGTCAGCGGGACAAATAAAAAGCCATAGAGTGGGCAATGTGACGAAGGAACACAAAATGATTCTGAGGAAAAGAATCAACATGGGTACTGTGCCATTTAAGGTATTCTTCGGTATCCATATTAGCGATGGTGGTGGTCAAGCGGTTTTATTCGCTTTCATTGATGTGCTTTGAGCCTTGGGGTCCGAGGTTTGAACCCCAGCACCACCAACACCGCCACCCAACATTTCTGCTAGACAACTTAGCTGTTGTCCAGTTCAATGCCATGCCTAATCCAGCAGGGTCTTATGGGGTTCGTCGCTCCAAGCCCAAGGAACTACTTTGATGACTTCTATGAATGAACAGCACGTCTTTTGTGACTCTGCTGTTTATCGCATCTGATATCCATCATATATAAAGAGTATGTAATAAAAAAAGAAGAGTGGGTTGTGCACTAGTGACGAACGACAAACTGGGGGAGAGTGTTATCTTTGCAAATTACAAACAAAGCGGATCGCTGTTGGACTCGATACGGATAGGTGAGACGTTCTTCCTTGCTCTCAGGATAGCCTCTTGTGAGTTTAAGAACCGTGGCAGGTGCGAACGGNGAGTAGCTAATATTGAAACAGATAACAATAGACACAAGGGAAGGGAGAGGTAAAGAGCATAACCCAGACGAACAGACACAAGTTAACCAGTCAATCGATTGATCCATTGATCACGTGCATTTAGGCCATAGATATGTAAACAACAAGCATCATCACTGATTCTCGTCAAACTGTAATTGGCCACCACTCCGAATACTTATACGTTCTGATTCCGCTTCTCACGGAAAACGAAATACTTGGTTTCACCAAAAGTGGATTGCTATCAGACTCACTTAGAATATTATCTAATTTATAATAGTTCCAAATAAGTTGAATGATGAAATGGGTCCGACACTCAGTCCGTTTTGAGGCAGCAGTTACCACAAGCAGTATTTCGATACGGATTTAATTTGATAGATTCATTCTCAGTTCGTTATTCCAAAGGTCAACCGGATAGATGAGTAGAATTATGTCCAGGTCAGGAAACACAAATACGGTCAATCTCCTGCTATCGTACTCGTCGGGAATTCAAAAGAGTGGGCAGATTCCAGGAACTGCGACATAGCATGCTAGCCAGTAGTAGATGCTATCAAGTAGCATGAAAAATCGGTGGAGAGTCTTGTGACAAAATAAACCGGGTCGATGAAAGTATTTTACTTCTGTTACTTGTTCCCAATGTTTATAACTATGTACCATTTATTTTTAACGGAATTTAGATACATCGTCCTGCGTATCCTTTATGTATCCAAGAAATTGAAATCTTTTACGATGCTCTCAGCCTAATATTAGTACACTGCGTCCGATATTCAGCCTTTCTCAGTTTCATGTGTCTAGTTATCCCGAAACTATCTACCTTTCTTCAGTGCAACTTTTTTACCCAATTATCGCATATTAATTTCAGATATTTTTCCATTCCTTTGCAATGTTAGGTTAACCACAGAATCGAGTATATGGAGTCCACCATAATATGCGACTGTTTAACTAATATAATCATGGCATCAATAATTACTCATTCGATGAAAACAAGAATGAGTCAGGACAAAAAGTCGCATTCGAAGGAAATCACGTCATCTAAAATAAGAGAAGTATCTGTAACGGGCTATGTTCAGTGCATAAACCTCTTTCTTATATTCCAAACTGATTGTTCATTGTGCAATCTATTCACGATTTGGTGGTGAAAAATCTGTAGCATTAACTAGTTAAACATCTACTCGTTCGTTTGCTTTTATTGTTGCAAGTATGTTCCTACCGACTGATACATTTGCTATGGTCAACGTCGGTAAACATGAGTGATGGATTAGGTTCAACACTTGACACAAATTTAAAGTGCATCGCTCAAACAGTCAGGGGTGCGTCAGACCCGGGTTATGATGACCTTTGGCCAATGACTTGCCTAAGATCATCGGTGCTCTAGCAAGGACAAGTGCGATCATTCATTCACACAGGCGCGCCCGCGCGGTGGCATTCATCGATCGATTGGATCTGCCACACCCGTCCATGACGACCTGAATCTTGGTCATGCTGGCTCACAGACAAAACGGCTCGAAACAGTAGTGATATCAGTGATTGGGATGAACAAAATATATCTCATGATTGGAAGATCAATAGGAATTGATGGACGAATGCTTACGCAGTAAAGATGAAAGTCAAAGGTGTCTGCCTGTTTCCCGAAATACAATGATGCATTTACTGTGACTGATGGGCTAATATTGCTAAATACCCTTCCCTCATACGATTGAACTCCGGGTAAATTATCTCTTCGGTAGTCAGCAGTTCACGCGCCACAATGGCCGTCTATCTTCACTCTTTCCCTTTAAGCAAGGTGTGCTATAAACCCCTAATCTATTGTCCATTCACATTTATTCTACCTTTGAGTAATTTCTCGCTTCCTAATAAGTATACGAACGAAATAATAGTTAAATTATCTGTAGTATTCGGAATAGGAATCGAATAGCGCGAACTCGGCATCGGACTGAAAACCCACTGAATAACGCAAAGTCAGGTAGAAC